GGCAAAGATGTCCATAGTTGTGCTCCTCTTAAGACTTCTTAGCCCTACTGTGTTTCTTGCCTTTCCCCAGAAAGGCCCACAGTAGGGTGCAAACAAAGCTGGTTAATGTTTTCCATAGGAGAATGAAGGAGTATTAAATAAAATAAAGAAGAACTGGGAAATGAAAGGGGGAAAAAAAGGAACAGGAAAAAGTTGAAAGGAAAGGGGAAAGTGCAAGTCATTAAACATTAGATTAATAGGAAAATGGGAAAGTCATACACAGCATGCGCATCTGTGTGTGGGGGGGTGGAAATTTAGCAAAGCATTATTTATTTTTCATGTAAGGTTGTTACTCTTCTGGTATTAAAGCAACTAAATAATGGATTGGTGGGTGTCAGAACAAAAGAATACTAATTGTCTGCCTCTTGGGGTTCAAAAGAACAATTACATGTACATACGCAATATCAGGTATAATATAGCTGATGAATTGAAGATCTAAAATTATATATAGGCTCCTCAAAAGCTATCACCCACCAGGGTTTCTGAGAGCAAAAGACCATGACAGTTGCATTCCAAATCTCCTGACCAAAATCCTAAATTAAAAGAGTGCAGCTTTTAACATTAAAGAACGGAATGAGTTAATGGCAGTCCTAAGCATATATAAACATCCAAAATAACTGGGTATGTTGGGAGTATCTCTCATTTAAAGAAATGCCATTTCTCTTGAGGTATCTAGGTTTCCACTTCCCATCACCAAATACAAGCTAGATCTATAGATAGTTTCTAACATTAACTGCAAAACTATTTCATCTCTCTATTAATGGCAAACCCGCCATGTGATCAGAGAACATGCCTGTACAAAGACTCTGTATACAGAAAACCAATATGCAGCTGGAAAAAGTGTCCTCAGTGTGTGCGCCTTGACGTGTACAAAAGTGATAGATTTTCCTATAAACAAAACAGTATATAAATCCGAAATATATACAACTGCGCTTGACACTATGTTAAAGGTGGGATACTCAAAAATTTTTAAAAAGGTGCAAGTGTAGCACTACAAGCCTTAAAAATATTTAAAAAGGCTTCTCCTTTCCCCTGGCTCTCCCCACAGATACAAAATAAAAGAGGGTATGTTGTTTTTGGAGGAGCTCTTGAAGCAAGTTTAAACACTGTAAAAAGAAAGAGAATAGGGCGCACCTATAATGCACAATTAGCTACATTTCATTGACAAGTTTTTAAAGTTGGGCACATCTAGTGCCTAAAAAGTAAATAGTGTTAAACCACATTATATTATATGTATAAATACATGATTGCACAATACAAGTTATGAAACTAAAACTTGTCATGTGAGTAGGTTTCAGAAGCATTTCCCTGCTACAGGAGGTTAGTTAAACCCATCTATCTCGAAAGATGTTCCGATAAAATAAATATATGCTGGAGCACATAAATCACTTCAACATTAACAATCAACTGCTCATCAATTCCAAGCAAAACTAAGGTATTTGAAGTGCTGTGAGATGTTACCTAAAAGAATTTGTCACCAGATCCAAAACTGTTCAGAAAGGGATGCAAAAATGCATCCTGTACCTTGGACACTTTGGCACTTTGGTTTGCTGGTGTTTGACTGTTGTACCACTAGCTTATTCCCAATTAAAATTCCCTTCATAATTTAACAAATAGTTAAAAAGTAATTAATCTGGGAGAGAGGTGGATGCCTATTTCAGGAACTAGAACAAATAAAGAAACTTGTTTAATCCTTTAAGTGAAAATTAGATTCCAAAAAAAGAACAGAGGGCCCTGGCACAACTCCATCAAAATCATAGAAGACAGACCTACTTACATGAGACTTTGATTTAGTTTCAGCTTCTTTAAAAAAAAAAACAGGGAAAGCCTATCCTCTCATCCATTCCTTATGGCTTTATTTAAAATGTAATTTATAAACCTTGCCAATTTGTTCATATCTGAATTAGGAAACAGACTACGGCCCACATTCCATCTTTCAGCAATAACATTTCTCTTAAGTTTGTTCTCAAAGAATGTCTATTAAACTCACTGAAAGCCATTCAGCGTAAATACCATGAAACGGCTAAGGTTTTCCAGTACAAAGGAAAAGCATAAGGTCTGTCTTGACTTTTAAATGGCAGACAAACTTTGCTGCAGGCACTTTTTATTTTAAGATGACAGATTGCTGAGGAAGGCGGGGACCGTTTGGGATGAGAGAGATTGCAGCCAATTTAAAAAGGTATTGTTAAGAAACCAAGAATAAGGAGAAAACAGTTTCAGTGATCTGTGATTACTAAAGAACAAGTTTAGCCAGATAAACAGGTCTGCTAAGCCCCCCCAAGGGCTTTGAAAGAATATCACACACTTTAATAAAGTGGATTACATGCCACTTGCTTCAGAAGTTATACTTTGAAAGTAAAAAACTTCATGACAGAATGGGTATTTTCAAGAATAAAACCTTAAATGGCACTGTATGAATTCAGTGCATATAAGGGGGTGGGCTGAAAAAGTGATGGTGGAAAGAACAGAGACAGGTAAATGTAGGCACACAGACAAATTTATCCTAATGGGTCCAGGCTTTCTCTGTTTTTTTTTTTTTTTTTAAATCAATGACCAAGCTCTCATTGACTTCTTCAAGGATTGCACCCTGCTGTACTGTTTGCCAGGGCATTCCTTTGAGGGAGTATCATTTAAAAACAAACAAACAAACAAACAAAAACATCAAGGCTGAATTTAGTAATTAAAAAACTTTCAATTTATATAGCAGTGAAAACATTTTTTTGAGTTAAAACACATTTTAACTGTACCTGCAGGTATGCACTTAAAGTATTAAATGTCTATTTAGAGAGGTCAAATTGATCCAGGCTTCCCTAACATAGGTAGGTATGTCTGTATAGACTCACTTCTGTATTTTAACCTCTCAGGCAATTTATCCCCTCATTCACCTCCCCACAAGACACTTTGTATTAGATTTGCTTAAGTTCACTAGATTTTTTTATTTTTTTTTTTAAATCAGAAACAAGAATGTTGTTTCTATGAATACATCAGTTTCTGTGACCTTAGTGCACTTAGGTGCACTGCTGAGGTCAAATATCCGCATAAGTAAAAAAAGTGGAAGGCAACGTTAAACTTCACTAGCATTTATTGCTGTACATCAGTAAATCACAACTTAAATAAAACACTTCTGTGTATGTGAAAACATGTTATCAATTAACACCAAAACTAAATACAAACACTTTAGTGATTTTCATATTTTTTTTTTTTTTT